TAGAAAAACACAGAAATTGCAAATAAATAACAAAAAATATAAGAAAATTTATAGATCGTAGAAAATAGAAAATGTAAAAAAAAAACAGAAATTATAAAAAACATTGAAAATTATAACAAAACACTAGAAATGAAAAAAAAAATTGAAAACTGAAAAAGAGCCTTTACCTCTAACTCGCCATTCAAGGATAATTTGGTCATGAAAATTGTCATTTGTGCTGACATGGACACCTCTATTAAGAGGCATTAACAGTGCACTAAGAAAGATGAGTTTTGGAAAATAAAAACTTACTGACATGGTGAATTTTAGACAATTTCCTATATATATATAACCAGTTGTGCCTAAGCTATGTTGGTTTAATTTGGGTTAGATTGGGCTATTTTTTGATAAGTAAGTTTGGGTTGGGTCTTTTTTTTTTTTTGATAAGTAAGCTTGGGGTGGCCAATTCAGGTTTTGATAGGGGTGGATACAAGTTGAGTCATGTTGAATGTTGGAATATTTGAGCTCGGAGCTAGAAATACTACCTTAAATTTGGCTCAATTCAAAATTTTATATGTTGTTTAACTCGAGTTCAACAATGAGCTAAATTTTAAATAAAAATTTAAAAATATGTATATAAATATTATTTCTTACTATACATATAAAAGATAAAATATTATGTAAGCTCAAATAAACCTGCATTCTTCATGAGCCCAGCTTTATATTATTTCAACTTGACTCAATTAGTATTTGAACCTATATATTAGACTAAAATTTGACTCAAAACTTGATTTGGGCCGAGTGATCTTTTTATAAACTGAGCTCAAATGATTGCAAATAGCTTATTCATGTCCACCCTTACTTATTGAGCTCATTTTAGACCATGTAAAATTCCAAGTTGGGCACCGGTTCAAATTGCACTTTATGAATTGTTTCCTTAAAGTATATCTTTTCATTTGCAATCTATACCATATTTGAATATGGAACTAGGCATTATGATGTATCCAAAATTCCCAATTGGTAACTTAATCAATATAATCAGATGATTCCTAACCATTAATGTGGGTTTTTTAAGTATAATTTTTGCTTTAATAATGGTATAATCATATATATATATATAACCATTTGGCACATCTTTTCATGCAGCTGTATTATAAAACAATATCATCCTAAAAAGACGTGTAAAATATSGTTTGAATTATTTTTGAAAAGCTCCAAATGAAGATTTTTCACTTTTTTTAATATATATTCATATAAAAAGACATACATTAATCAAACGAAACGGCACCATAATCTTCTTTATATGCTAAGCTTCAAACTTAGCACAACTAATCTGATGATGGGCCCAATGCTTGAGTTGCGAGACAAATTGTAAGTTATGGGTGGTCAGACCCATTCACGCGTTTTCTTGTTAACGAAGAATTATACCTGTATACGTTAGGCTTCGTTCTCTTGTATACGGAAGAGCAAGTTGAAGGTGCACGAACACCTATAGACATTGGCCTCATGATCAAATCATTACCATCCATTTCCATCAGGTCAAACTTAACCATAAGAGAGGTCCCGTTGACTCCGGAATCCAACTACGCTTCAGAGACCAGAGTTCAGACACAAAAGCTCGTGCTCACGTGCAATATAACTGACGTGGCGTATCATAATTGGCCCAGTATTTCGAGTAGAACTGTAGACGTCTCGGGCTCTATTTCCCGTATAAAACTGTATTCCTCCGCAAGAATATTCCCTGTTTGTTCTATTTTCTCTTGGTCCTGGCGGATCTGTGGCTGTGTGCTTCTTCCATTTTATTATTTCCAAAATTTCAGCTTGGAATTTGCAGGCTTCCAACTTCCAAACAATCAAAACCTTCTCTCCTCAAATCCTTTTTTCCGCAACTCAACGCATCTGAGTTTTGAGAGCAGAGGAGACACAAAAACTAGAGAGAACAAGAGTTATTCTCGATTTCATGGCGACCCCCGAAGTTCTGCAAAGAGAGGAAGACCTTCTCTTGTCCATCTTTGACCAACCGAAAGGCATCTTTCCATATTCCCCTTTTTGTTAACTTTTATTTATTATGATATAATCTTATATTCGGAAGTTTTCTTTTCTTTACGATTTTATGTATTGTGGGAGTGAATGAAGTTGTTTGTAATTACGAATTCTTTTATTGTTCTTTATTTTGGGAATGTGAATAATTTTGAATCCGATGGTTTGATTTGTAAGTTTGAAATTCTATTATGTTTTCTTTAATTGTGCAATGCTTCGTAATAAATTCGTAATTCTTCTTTAAATTTTTTAGGGAAGGCTAATTCTCGTGGAAAGTTAATTGAGAAAAAGATTGAGCTTCTGGAGAGCTTGGCTGGAAGGGTAATGTTTGTTTACTTCGTTAAATTTCGCGTCAATTTTGGTTATTGGATATCAGATTTTTCATCGTATTCAGTAATATTTTCCTTTCTTTTAGATTGAATTAATGAAGGATATTGTTGTTGGTACCAGTTATTGTTACTTGAATTTCAAATTTTTCCCTGGTCATCTTATGATAAGTTGGAACTAATTGATGACTGGTGTCAAAAGTTTAATTGAATCATTTTCTTACAAATCATTAGGCCAAGGGAATTTCTTTTTCTTCATGCATGCTATGTCTTTTGCAACTAATTTTCTAATTTATAATGACACTTTAATTAATGAATTGACGCATCAACCAAACTATCCTTGCAATTTTTTTACCGTCATTGTTCCCATGGTTCAATGGATAACACAGGGTTGCAAAAGAAGGAAAGAATTTGTGAACTCTATAGCCAAAGGAATAGAAACAATTTCCTTCCCAAAGTTTTAAAATTCAATAGCTCTTTCTCTCTCTCTCTCTCTCACACACACACACACACATTGCACAATTCCTTTAATAGTACAACCTTTTAAGTTAGTTTTGTGTTGTATTTGTGTTGTATAAGACGTTATATTTACATATTTTTAGCTCTTCTTCCCCTTTATATTTTCCTTATCTATTTTCAGGAAGGTCCTTTATCAATTTAAACAATTGAGCATACTTTATCCATATTCATTTTGAGAAGTGAGAACACAAACTCTTTTTTTTAATCATTAAAGAAAAAAAACATAGATATATCAGGAAACTATCATGCTTACACTGCTTGTTAAGATGTTATTCTCATTACATCCTTATCTTTATTTAAACATAAATACTGCCTAAAGTTCCTCCACACCAGACAGTAGAACTAAAGAATGGGATCGGTGCTGCCAATCCCACTTAAGTTGGATAAGATAGCTTATTATGATGATGATGATGGTATTCTGAATGGAAGTTACATACTTTAAATTAATTGAAAGTACTTTCTGCAAATTACAATGTAAATTTTTGTACCTGTTAAAGGTTAGCAATCGGAGATCTCGCAGATGGTTAAATGATCGTCTGTTGATTGAGCTTGTTCCCCGTTTGAATGCAGAAGAAATTAGAGGCCTCTTTGCTCCACCACCATGGGGTAATATCTTACCTCAAATAACATTATTATGTTTTTAGTTTTACTGGTTGTTTAATGCAGGTACAACTGATTATTTTTTCATGTGCCCATTTGATATTTGTTGTCTTGCATACGTCTACCTTCTCTATAACATGTTTTACTTATGAACATAGAATACTTAAAACTGTAATTACTAGTTTCCTACTCCACTAAATTAGAGATGTATTTGCAGCTTGCCTTGCCAGCTAGTAACTTACAGCATCTTTTTTTGAGCTAGCTTGTTAGGAACAAACAGGGAACACTTGCTTTGGGGAACCACTTACCATGGGGGAAATTTGTAATCCAAGTAAAAAACTAGCTTAAAATGGTTGGTCTGCTTTGCTGGCCTAACATCATGGGTGCATGGGGGAAATTTGTAAATTCATTGCTTTTCCTAAAGCAATGAAGTCTAGTAGTTACTGATAAAAAAAGGAGGTTTGGTGGTTGGGAGCAAGTTAGAGGAGACAGTTTTGGAAGGGAGCTCAGGAATTTGGAGTGTTTAATAGAGAGACATCAGACATATCTGTAAGTTGGAATTGAGAGGGAGAGAGGGGGAGGGAATTTTACCTAAAGTTTAGGACTCCAACATCATCCTTGATAGGAGTGGAAGAGATTATAGGGGAAGGAGAAATGGAAGATTGGCTATGCCATTGACAATGGAAGAACAAAAAGCAAAAAAGAATATCTCAGATGCAACTACCCATGTGTGAGACAAATGCTAGAAATTTTCAAATGAAAAATTAGGAAAATATAAAAGGAGTGCCACCTAAGCATCTCCATCCTCTAATATAGTATAGTGTCTATAGATGGGAGGTCAAAAGGGGCTCAACTGTGAAGAATGTCAAAGGTCTTCAAGAAAGCCTTTGATACTGTCAATGATGAATAGGTTCATGATAACATGATGAGACACATTGGAAAAAGCATTCTCAGGTCAAAGGACATTCTTTTCAAACTTGGTAAGTTGGTCTTTAAATTAGTCATTTGGTTGTCTTACTTGGGCCAGTCAATTGCATTGGGAAAAACATTCTCTGATCATTCTATTTCAGTTTAAGAGGTTCCTTGGTCTGTGTGGCTGTCTCACTTTAATCAACTTTATGCATCTGATGCCAAAGTATTCAATGTCTATATTCACCATCCTAGAGGCTATATTCCACTTGAGTTTGTGATGGTGCATTGCTTTTGAATGATAAGTTTTCTATACTGTCACCTCGGCCAAATTTTAATAAATTTTTGTATGTGTAGAATCTTTATCAGAGTGCAATTATTTTCAAGTGTATAGCTCTTGAATTTTGTTCTCTGCAATAAATATAGTTCTTTATACTGTTTTATATTCTGTAGCATTATTTCCTAGAATTGCTGATTTGTATTTCATTCTTATAGGTGATAATGTGCCGTTGTCACCATTTTGCATGACAAATGTGGGAGACTGGGACACTTTCAGGAACATTGACATGGATAAAGAGGTTTGCTTTCTTTTTTACCCTCTTTGAGACTTGGAAACATGTTTCACATTTCACATCTAATGGTGATAATAGTTGCAAACACTTTTGTGACATCCACTAGCTAATTAAGAAGAAAAAGAAAGAAAGCCGCTTGTACTTGTGAGAGAATAAAATTTATTCAGGGACCTCATCTAACAGCTTAAGCTTTTAGGTTGGGTCATCAGAATGTTGATAGTTTTAGTTTTTTAAAAGTTACTTTCTAGTTTGTTGGTGTCTTAGTAATAGGGTTAAGTCAGGTTAGCTTGAAAAAAGCCCTTTTTTAATAATAATAATAATAATAATAATAATGATGATGATGATGATAAAGTACCATCTAACAATAAATAAATAAATAAAAGAATGCCATGTACAATGAGGATTTGCCCCTTTTGTTAGGCTAGTCATCACAATATTGAGTGATTTTTTTTTGAAGATAAAAGAAAAAGTTTATTAAACAAAAAAAAGAAAAGAAGATACAAGGAAGGTGATAAGCAATCACCTAAGAGAAAGACAGCCCAATGCAAAAACCCAAAGGAGGCTGACAAAAAACCAACATACAGGACCAACCTAGCTAAAGAAAACCCCTTACAAAAACAAAAAACAAAACAATCACAACATTGAGCGATTACCCCCCCGTCCCCACAATACAAGTGTCCCTATTTTTTACCATTTGCTTGGCTAATGAATCAACCACACCATTGCTCATCTATTGACCCAAAGAAAGGTATCTAATAGATCCCTTGTTAGCTGTTTAGAGAGTTTCTGGAATTTTGAAATGAAGTTGCAATCATGTCGTTTTTCTTTCAGCCTATTTTTCAGAGGTTAAAACTTGTTCACTTCATGTGTAGGTTATTGACTTATCCATCCAATGAAATTAAGTATCTTTAAAATCTGACATTTTAAGAGGGTTACAACCATTTTATTAATAGGGTGTTAAAACTTGATCATTTTGCTCGATTGGTGTCAATGGATAGGTTATTGAGTTATCTATCCAATGAAATTAAGATCTTGTAAATCTGGCATATTTTGGGAGAGTTAATTGTGATGGAATTTGAATATTTTATTTATTGTGTATATCTTAGAATTGTTTTCAGTTTTTTTAATTATAAATTATAATAGGATTATAGAATGTCATTTAGTTGTTTAAAGGGTTGAAGTCCATATCTTTGTGTCCCTATGAGTAGTTACCTATCATGTTGCCTTAGTGTTGAAGTGGTTAATAGTTGTTTCAAGTCAATTTCCTAGTTGAATTTGGAGTCTGTAAAAAGAGATCCAAACCCTTACATTTATTCCATAAATAGAATCATTGTAATTAGAGCCCTTGGAGTTAATGGAATGAAAAGTTTGGTTTAAATTTCCTTGGGTAAGAGTATATCTTATTCGTTCTCCTTCTTTACCTCTAATGCTGCAATGTTTCTTTTTTTT